CCCTCCCCGGCAATATGTCATAAATTCTCCCACCAGCCCTCAACCATCCTGTCTCTAACCCTCCCCCTCCCCGGCAATACATAAATACACCCACCCCCCACCAGCCCCTCAACCATCCTGGTTCTAACCCTCCCCCTCTCGGCAATATATGTCATACCCCCCTCCCCCACCAGCCCTCAACCATCCTGTCTTTAACCCTCCTCCCCGGCCATATGTCATACCCACCCCCTCCCCCACCAGCCCTCTCAACCATCCTGTCTCTTATATTTTAACATGATATAAATTGCCACACGATTATGGAAATGCTTCACTACCAGTTCTGGCTGTTGTAAAAATTCTCCTTTGACTCAATCCTCCAGGCTGACCACATTCAATTTATCTCTCAATCATACTGGGTATCTATTTTATGTGTGTGTGTGTGTGTGTGTGTGTGTGTGTGTGTGTGTGTGTGTGTGTGTGTGTGTGTGTGTGTGTGTGTGTGTGTGTGTGTGTGTGTGTGTGTGTGTGTGTGTGTGTGTGTGTGTGTGTGTGTGTGTGTGTGTGTGGTTGGCTGTCGCTGTCTCTGCCTGTCTGTTTTCCTGATAAATTCTCTATCTCTAGTTCCTTTTCTCTATCTCTTTCTTATTGTCTCTCTCACTCTCGCTCTTTCTGCTCTTTCTTTCTCTCTCTCCTTCTGTGTCTCTGTCCGTCTGTCTCTCTCTCTCTTTCTATCCCCTCTGTCTGGTTATCTCTGTCTATCACACACACACACACACACACACACACACACACACACACACACACACACACACACACACACACAGACACACACACACACACACACACACACACACACACACACACACACACACACACACACACACACACACACACACACACACACACACACTCGTTGTAGTTAATAGGACCTAAATATTACCATTGCTATTAAACCAATTTCCACCCCACCTTATATAATCTTATTTATACTTATATATGACTTAATATATCAAACTCTATCCACACTATATTATATAGTAGTGAATGACTGTGTTTATATATCAGTCGACGTATCATAGGAATTTATATAGATAAGCTTGTCTGAACTATATATATTACAGGGTTTAATATAGATAAGCCAGTGTTAAGTATATATGAGTGTGTTTATATAGCATTGAGACAGGTATGTGGTGTCGTATATGTATTATGACACTCCTCCTCCCCCTTCTTCTTCTCTCACTTCAACACCACTTTTACCTCACTCGTGTTAAACTTCCACCTAACGGCTTTGATTCCTCTGAGAGTGTTAAGAAAGAAAAAGTTACGTCAAGATGAAACTTCCCTTACACACACACACACACACCTCCCCTCCAAGTCCTCTTTCAACCATCCCACAGGTGTGTTGGTTACGTTTTATCAATAGCAAGTCTACGGATTTGTCGCACCCACATTCAACTACCATATATCCGGTACATCAACACCACTACACTATAATGGTGCGTTCTAGCGGTACACCAACAATATTACACTATTTTGGTGCGTTCTAGCGGTACACCAACAATATTACACTATTTTGGTGCGTTCTAGCGGTACACCAACAATATTACACTATTTTGGTGCGTTCTAGCGACACACCAACAATATTACACTATTTTGGTGCGTTCTAGCGGTACACCAACAATATTACACTATTTTGGTGCGTTCTAGCGGCACACTAACATAACTCCTCCACTATCTCGGGTGCGTTCTAGCGGGCGTCTCAAATTTCACGGGATTTCAAGTCTGGTTAAGATTTATTATCCCAAGTTGGGTTCGACATTGTTGATGAAACACCCAAGTTTATGCGTTAATCTGGTTATTAAAAGATTACATGAAGAAGACTTTAAAATATTATTCAAAGGAGAGAAATAAATTGTTTGTATGTCTTTGATCACAGGTGTTTGTGTTTGTTTATGCTAATTAACAGGTGTGTACTAACAGGTGTGGTTGTACTAACAGGTGTGTGCTAGCAGATGTGATGGTATTAGAGGTGTGTACTAACAGGTGTGTGGTGTTGTTTACAGGTGTGTGTACTAAGAGATGAGGTGGTGTACTAACAGGTGTGTACTAACAGGTGTGTGGTGTTGTTTACAGTGGTGGTGGAGAGTACGAGGTACAGGTGCACGAATTAACTGGTAATGTCAGGCAACACAGCTGTACTCAGGTGCTGTTCCTTCCTACGTCAGAGAATACGTGACTGTCATCAACAATTCCTGGTTCCATGACGACGCCTTCAACATCTACCCGTCCCTCCCACGGTGGTGAGTAGTCTGTCTATCTGTCTGTCTGTCTGTCTGTCTGTCTATTTCATCTGTCTGTCTGTCTGTCTGTCTGTCTGTCTGTCTGTCTGTCTGTCTGTCTATCTATCTGTCTGTCTGTCTGTCTGTCTATCTATCTATCTATCTGTCTGTCTGTCTATCTGTCTGTCTGTCTGTAGGGCCATAAAAGGGCTCCCCAATAGACACAGCCCAATATAGCAACCAAGACATGTAACCAAGACAAATTAGACTTAATCTCAAACTGTGGTGGTCGTTAAAAAGGCAAAGATGGACGGGATGTATTTACGGCAGTGTGTGGTGGCGGGAGGAGCGGGAGGAGCGGGAGGAGCGGGAGGAGGAGGAGAAAAGTTAGTGTGAAACGACTTGTGGGGGGTGATGGGGTGAGGCGGGTAACGACCATTAAGATTTACCATTAGTGAGGTTGAGTGTGGAAGACGAGGGGGGTGTGGGGAAGGTTGTGGGTCAGAGTGGAGAGGAGTTGGAGTGGGAAGGAGAGGGGGTTGTGGGTTAGAGTGTGAAGGAAGGAGTGTAGAGTGGGAGGAGGGGGAAAGGGAGGTAGGGGGAAGAGGGGGAAAGGGAGGTAGGGGGAAGAGGGGGTTATGACCAGAGACTTCTTCACTCCCACCTCACACCTCCATCGTAAAACCCTTCAGGATGTAAACAAACCCATTTACCTGGCAGCTGGAGGACCCCAAGAACCCCTCCACCCCCAAGAAAAACCATCCAATCGTAACCTGTCATCACTACTATCCGGGGATTTTGGAGCTTCCTGATTGGACAGCCTCCTTATGTGCTACTAAAAGACCTTAGCTCCCAGGTGTTATCAAGGCCAGGTATGGTGGTGTTGTGTTATATATATACCTGTAAGCTTTTGGCCTCCACACCTGACTCTATACGTGATTACAGGTAAAGAGGAAAAGGAGGAGAGAAAATGAAGAAGGAATAGAGTAAGTGTAGTGACTGTTACTCGAGTCAAAGGGGGTGGTGAGGTAATTCAAGTCAATGTTAAGTGCTTCTGGGAGGACACACACACACACACACACACACACACACACAC